TGTCATACCACAGAGATGTTTGGAGACCACGTTGGTCAAAGATTTAAGGAACTTTTTCTTCTGTATGTACAGAAGGTGTTTGTAAAACCAGGCATAATTCACATGTTCATGTAACAAATATTTCCTATGGAAAGAATGAAACAAGCTCCTCTTTCATGTTAAGAAAGAACATTTGACATTCTTGTTCCAATTTGCATTTACTGCTGATATTTACTAGCAGTGTATGTAAAAATGTGCATCACATTGTGGTGACTTATGTTGAAATGAAGTTTATTACTTCTTGAATTTTATCATGTTGATAACACACGATTGCTCAAATGTTGCTGAGATGTTTCTTCTAAACTAATTTTAATCTTTGTGATTATTCTGCATTGTTCTGTTATCAGAGCCAGATTTATTTTTGTCCTTTGTTTAAGAGGATTATATACCTGACACTGTAAAGTCAGTGGATTTGGTTCATCTACTCATATCACTTTGTGATTGTTTTAATGTGATTTGTTGTAGAATCCCTTTGTTCTTTGTCTTTGTTATAAAGTGCAGTTTGTGCTTATTCCAAAGTGTATTTTATGAAAATGTCACATGCAGATTCATGTCATAATGTTTGTGTCTTTTGTAAAGATGATTGGTCCCCCACTCATTTTGAGTGCAGTGTCTTGGTGATGTTACCAAGTTATTGTTGTGATGCATCATCATTTATCTTACTCTCATATATAAACTTGACACTCTGTTTATCTTAATAAACAACCACTGAAAGGACATCAAAGTGTTTCTGTTATCGTTTCATTCTATGCTACGCATATATGTCTTGTAGTTATAGTGGATCACTCATCTAGGCATCCTATACATTTATTGGGCCAATATCACTATATATTGTAAAAACAGCAAAGCTCACACCAGGACTATGGTGTAGTAGGGTGACAGGTGAGGGCTTCATGATCATATCTGGAGCCTTATTCTAATCCAAATGTCACAGAAATTAAAATGACAATAATATTCAAATCAAATTAAAATATCTGATGAGTTATAACTCATATGGGACTTTTTGTATATGCAATAGCTTGATTGAAATAGTCCGATAAGTAATGATATGTGTGTCATGTTTTCCTTAAGCAGTCACCATTTTTGGAGCAGTCGTTACTTGGAGGCTAAAACTTTCATGATAACTATTGTCTCTTCACATGATGGGTAAGGGGACACACTCCTATTGTTGTTCCAGTGACACTGTGAAAGGACAGAATGTGGGAAACCAGAAGAAACTCACTCACAGAGCCCCAGCGGGACAACAGATGCTGACCTCTGTCCTGAGGAGAAACATGTCGAAAGGTAGTATGATGGAATGAAAACTGATCATGGAAAACAACAACACATTTGTATGGGATTAGATACTTTTAACATACCATGAAATAAAATAACATGAAAATATTTGCTGATCTCCAAAGTTTTATAGCACTTAAGAAATAATGTAGTTGTAATTTAATGGAGGAATTTATGAAATTACAATATCTATAAACATTTTTATGATCGTAACTTTAAAGTGTTTGTGATTTTTTTTTACCCCCAAACTGTGACCTGCTGTTTTAATCTATAATACATATATTTACCAGAATTCACACAGATCCATACATATTGTACATGTAGAATAAAATTACATCTTGAGGAGCCTTTTTCTTCTCCAGGACCAAAGAGAAGGAGGGTCACAGTTCAAGTTGATTTGCATTCTTAACCACACGGGTTTCTGACTATTGTCCAGAGGGATTTGGCACACTTCAGGAAACAGCTGCCGTGACCTTCTCCTGCATTTCAGAACATGAGATTTGGAGCTTGTGAAAACATGAAAGTTTCATGATGGGCAATTTTCAAACTTTGTCCAACTGTAAACTGAAATAGTGGATCATGGATTGTATATTACTGGATAAGGTAAATATGATCGACTTTTGAAATTTGAGTAAATTTTGAGTCAACCAATCATGTTGTTTCCCTCCAGATGGTTGTTGACGTCAGGCTCTGTCTCTGTTGGAGCACACGACCACCGACCACCACAAAAGCTCCTTTCAAAGACCTTTGTAGTGCACTGACCACATCATTCAGCACTGAGTGTGGGAAAGTGAGGACAACTATCTGCTCACACCAACCACAAACTGAAAAGCAAAAAACACACCTGCTACATCTGGACATCACAAAAAAAAGATAAATCAATTTTATATGTTATAAAAAGTAATATTGTTTATTAGTTTCCTCGCAGAACTATCTCAGTGATTTTTTTATTTAATCTTTAAACATTCTCTACAACACTTTAGAAATTTGGTCACTTTGCCACATGAGTTGAACTTCATGTCAGAAGGAAGAGATCAGATCTGACATTAAATGATTTTTCCATAGAAAAACACACAGACCATCTGATGTCTGATTGAGTTTGTGTGAGAACCAAAAATGTTACTTTCAGGATAATCAATGACACTAAGTGGGTGTCAGGTGAGACATGAAAAGTATCTTAATCAGAGAAACAGTTTGATTTGAAAAGCGTGTGCCGAGTCAAAGTCACTGATCTCAGCATCAGGCAGCAGATGTATCCTCTACAGGGTCACCACTTTCTCAGATTCACACAGAGCTTTTCTTTTACGCTGACACACCCACCCAAAAGTGCTCCACTCGTTCCCCTGGGATGTATCAATGTGGCGGGCAAGATTTCTTTTCTCTAATTGACAGCTCTGTGATTGGTCAAAACTGTGAGAAACTCCAGTCAGACCAAGACCCACACATTCATATGGAGATGTGGGAGTATAAATAGGAGGGATGAAGGCAGCAGTGATCAGAGTCTCTCTACAGAGACCTCTACAGCACAGAGATCCAGCCATGGCAGCTACAGTCTCTCCAGTAATGACTAATTCTCAAGACCATGTGATGTGATCATCTCTCTTTGAATCATGAGGTAAATTGGAGATCAGATCAGAATGTCATTCATTATTCATGAAAGATTTTGTTTGATAACAATAAAACTATGCACCAGAACTGTTTTATTAATGACTTTGTTCTTCTTCTTGCAGCTCAGAAAGCCTCTGGTGGAGAAGATCAGCAGAGAGAGAATCAACAGCAGTATTGAACAGCTCAAGTCTCTTCCAGGTCCTGAGCCCCTCAAACAGCAGCCAGACTCCAAACTGGAGAAGCCAGACGTCCTGGAGATGACCGTTTGCTACCTGAGAAGACTGCAGCAGCAGCATCAAACCGCAGAATCAGTTCTTGAACAGAGCTATTCCAGGTGTGCCCAAGAGATGGTCAACTTCCTGTCAAAGGTGGAGGTGAAGACTCAGTCCCAGAGAAACCTGCTGAACCACATCAAGCAGCTGCACACTTCCTCTGATAAAACCCTGAGTGAGGCTGACTTCTCTCCTCTGAGCTACACAGTCCAGACCAGCATCACCAAAGACAACACACTCACCAGCTCCCTCTGGAGGCCGTGGTAGAAACCTGCAGTCTTCAGTCAGCCTTACTAACTTCAATGATCATATTGGTCAAAGAATTCAGAGCCGCATTCTTCTGTAATTTAGAGATTTTTAAGATTTTTCCTGTTGTTCATACAGAACAGTTTACTTTGTTTTGTTTTTAGTGGAAAAAAATTTTTCCTGAGGAAATCAAAGAAACAATATATTTTGTTTTTTTGAAACAACATATCTTGTCATGCACATTGCATGAATGAAATCTGATTGCATCTGCAATTATTAATATTACCTGCTCTTCAGGTACTGATGATGTTATATTAACATTTGTTATCTTTAGTTTGTTATTGACCCAAACAATAACTTTTGACTAAAGAAAGAAGGCATCATGTCAACATGAAAACTTTCTTCTGTATGTACAGATGTTTTCTTAACCTGTTATTCTGCTTTTTCATGTAAAAAAAAAAAAAAAAAAGAACTAGAAAAAATAATTCCTATGGGAATGACACAATGTCAGATTATTTTTCATTTTTAGAATCATTGGTGTATCAATTAAATGCATTTAAGTTGATAAATATACTGTATAGACAGTGGATTGACTTATTTGGATCACTTTGTGATTGTTTTAAGATAATGCCTTTTGGAGCATGTTTTATGAAAGTCTGATATGAAGATTCACATCATACTGTTGGTGTCTTTAGTAAAGATGACTGATCCTCCACTCATTTTGAGTATGGTGTCTGTTGTTACCAGGCTGTTGTGATGTATCATCACCTCTATCTACCTCCCGTTGGAGACTTTATAAAATGTTAATACCGAGTGTGTCTTAATAAAGAAATATTGTGATCATACAAGGTTTTGTTCATTTGTCAATCCATAATTCAATCAAAAAGTGGAAATTCACAACTAGAAGAGGAATTCATTTAAATATAAAAATTCAAATATAAATATTTTGTGGTTTTTTTTCTTGAGCTTCAAATATCAACAAATTATTGGCCACCACTTTGGAGCAGTCCCCAGGCCATGGGAGGGCCAAAACTTCAACGATAACTATTGTTTTTTAATGTTATGGGTAAGGAGACACGCTTCCATTGTTCTTCCTGTGAAAGCAGTGAAAGGACGCAGTGTGGGAAACCAGAAGAGACTCACTCACAGAGTCCCAGTGGGGACAATGAATGTTGATCTTTGTCCTCGGTAGACAGAGAGTGAAATGGAATATAGTGGCATAATGCTGCAAACTGATCATGTTAAACATACAGGTGTTAAGATACTTAACATGCAAATATTTATTCTTATTAATAAGCGTCCAAAATGAATGTACATAAAATATGTCACTAACATCCTTTCAGCGGTGGATTGTTGGCACACTTTAGAACCAAATTAGGCTGTGAGTCCTTAATTATCGATCACTAGTTGGTTATGTGCAATCCAAAATTTCTCCATTAAGTGTAATAGTTAGGTGCAGATTGTTTTAGTTATAAACAACTGATTTGGTTTTGACAGTAATTTTTATCAGGCCTGGTCATGCCAACCAATCATGTACTTTCCCTCCAGATGGTTAGTGACGTCACACAGTTTCAGTCAAAGCACAGCCAAACCTTTATATAATGTCTTTTCAGGGTCCTTTTGTCGTGCACTGACCACATGATTCAATACTGAGTGTGGGAAACTGAGAGCAGCTACAAACCAGAGACAGAGGACACACATGTGACATGGACAAGATGACTTCGTCCAGCACAAAAACTGTGTATTTTTCCTACTAGCAATTTTCAGCACTTACAGTCAATTCAAAGAGAGAGAAAAAGTTTAAAAATAACATACAGAGAAGTCCAATTCCAAAAAACATTTCATGATCACATAGTATTCTCATAGTTTGGCAGAATATATACGGTGTGAACTTGTCGCTACAAAGTCATGAATTGGTGCTCATAACTTTGTAAACATCTACCTTGCTTTATGTGAAACACAATCTGTTTGTGTCTTTTATAAAGACAGCTGTTTCTCTGTTCAGTACAGTGAGTAGACATGTTTTTTTTTGTTGACGTTTAACATAAATATTTAAAAAAAAAAACATGCCAATTTATATAAATGTATAAATTTATATAAATTCATCTTTAAACCAGGCTATCAATTTTCAAGAAATTTAACAGACAATCAAACTACACATGTTTTATTTAACTAAATTATCAAAGTCTGGAGCAATATAATCGAAACTCATTTAATGAAGCTGAATTATTCGTTTTGTGTCACTGTATTTAATTGAACAACATTAAGCCATCAAACCAATTCATGTTTTTGTGCATTCGTGCATGTTTTCATATTTTTTTAAATGTAACTTTAAACACATCCCTTTTTAAGGACGTCAGACAATGTATCTAATGTGTTGTATAATGAGGCACACTTCTATTGTTCTTCCAGTGAAAGCAGTGAAAGGGAATTGTGTGGGAAACCAGGCAAAACTCACTCACATAGCTGCTGTGGGACAATAGATCCAGACCTTTGCCCTGACAGATTAACAAGGAATCAGGAGTCTAAACCCCCCTCAAATTACAAAATCACACAGGCCATCATACTTTTTCTTTTTCTAACTAAAAGAATAACAGCTGAAGTCCAAGTTACAGTATATTGCTTATGATATCTGGCTTTCCAAAAGGAAACAATTCCTTTATCATTACAAACAATAGTTTAAATAAACAATGCTTGATCAAACTCAAAATGTGTTATAGATGTATATCATGGGGTTCAAGAAATGCATTCAAGGCTTAATGGGCAATTATTTGCTGAGAAGCCCATCCACTGTGTAGCACCTGCACGTGTGCAGTCCATTAATGAAAGTCTATTTGTAGGCAGGCACCTGCTAATTTTGGAGGACTGTGGCAAAAGCACCAGCAGCTTTTTATTACTGCAAAGGGATTTGGCAGACTTCAGCAATCCCCATGAACATCACAGTGATTGCAACCTGAAAATATGATGTGAAACTACTCTGATTATGGCAAATTTTCACCACAATTTCAAATTTTACTACCACTCAGAGCCAGCCAATGGGATCCTTTCCCTCCAGATGGTTGGTGATGCAATGCTTTCTTTCTACAGCAACACACGGGCAGCATCTGCCACTAAAGTCTCTTTGTGGCTCACTGACAACAGCACAGGGAGTGAGTGTGGGAAACCCAGATCAACGTGTTACTCCCATTGACTAAAAGGCACATGTCACTGACACAAGAACAACAGCACAATTATTGCCTTGAGTACTTGAGTAAAGCAATAAACTACAGCAAACCAATCAGAAAACTAAAACAGCCCACAATACCAAACTGATAAACTGTCAACATGTTAGTAAACATAACTTGTTATCCTGCATAAAAATTAAGCATTTCATTAAAACTGAATGATGTTCAGTTGACTATTTATTTTAAAAAAGATGCATTAAAGGTTTGGGTTTAGAAATTATCAAACAAATTGAGACCAAAAAATCAAAGTAAGTTTTACTTTATATGTGGTTCATTAATTAGATCGTTAATAGATCATTAAGCTGGGATGATGAGTCATAGTTTTCTTTACAGGGTTTCTATTTTCTGAGATTCAATTTGAGCTCTGAGAGTACTTCTCAACCAGAGTCCATCACCTGATCTCTATCCACTGTTTCCTGGGCAATAACAGGAGCATGATGCCACTGATTGGCTCAGACTGGAAAAACTCAAGCAGGGAAAGATCCAAACATTCATATAGAGATGGTGAAGTATAAGGATATGGGAGGGATATCAGGTTCTGTCCACTGAGACCTTTACAGCACAGAGATCCACCTACATCCCTACTGCAATGATCGCTTATCAGGAGAAAGTGATCCCAACTCATTAGGTAAATCACAAATTGACGCAATTGTCAAAAACTTGTAATAAATTAGATACATTTTTACTAAAACAAAATTCTTGAATTTTTTTAAAATGTATTTTCTACTTTCTGCAGCTGGGAAAGCCTCTTGTGGAGAAGTTGTGCAAAGACAGAATTAAGTCCTGCGTTGAGCAGCTGAAATTTATCCTGGATCCAGAGCTCCTCAAACAGCAGCCGGACTCCAAACTGGAGAAAGCAGAAATCCTGGAGATGACTGTTTGCTTCCTGACAAAGCTACAGCAGAGCAAATAGCAGAGCTGATAGCAGAGAAGCCTGCTGACCCACTGCTGAACCAGCTGCTCTGGCGCTCTGACAAGAACCTGACAGAGGCTGACTTTCTCCTCTGAGCTCCACCAGCATCACCAAAAACTAATGTTCAAACAACAGCGCCCTCTGGCGGTCAATGATAAAAGCAGCGAATAGTCAACAACCAGAATAAACTTGTCTGCAGAGCCCTTCTGGACCATCAGATACAGACCTTTGCCCTGAACGAACAGAGCTTAAAACGTCTGTTATTTTACAACAATCAGTTTAACATCAAGCCTTTGATTAAAACTGTTACTCTAGTTTTTTATATATCACACCACTATTTTGTTCAGTAAACTGTTTCATTTCCAGAGTTTGAGATAGATCTTTATTTTTGGGGTCAAACTAACTAAAATAATTTAGCAATATATTACAGTAATTTAAAAATTCAGTTACAACATTTTTTTTAATGGCACAGCTGTAGTGGACCCGTTGTTGTTAAATTTGTTTTAACTACAAAGGTTCATGAGCTCATAGTAAGCACAGCGGGTTAGAGTAAAGTTGAAGTGAGGTTAAGCATTACAAGATGAAGCTGTATCCTGTTACATTTAAGACTATGTGAGGTTTAAGTTAAGGGGAAACAACTTCAGTTTCTAAATAATCTAGTTCCACCCACAGGCTGCAGCTGTACATATTTTTTTTCAGCTGCTGCAAAATCTGACCTTTTTGTTGTTCATGTAAACTCTGAGTGACAAAAAGTTGAAGGCCATCCAATACTGTTAATATTTTTGCTTAAGTTATTTATGTCAATTATGACAGGGCATGACACTCAGTTTTATTTTTACATAGGTAAATATTTTTAAAGATGATTCTATGGGAGAATTTTCAACCTGCAACAGGGCACAAGAGTTATTTTTTATCATTATTATTATTATTATTTATTTATTTATGGTTAAGTGAATACTCTGGAGAAAAGAGTAGGACACATTCACCCCACCAGTTGTGAATTATCCACCAGAAGCACTGGACACACTTCATGAAACTGCCACCACCATCCCCCACCCCCAGGACCCTAAGAGGTGAGATTTTGATGTAGTTGATGGTCAGTAATCAGTAATCATGATTAGCATTAGAGGTATAAAATGTGTAGCTGATTGCAAACTGAAAATAATACTTTCCAAATTGTGGTACCCTAATTTGATTACTTTAAGAATGTTTTTTTTTTTTATTATAAATTTTAATTTTAACAACTGTCCAAGGCAGCCAATGGGATTCTTTCCCTCCAGGTGGTTGGTGATGTAACCTCACGTTTCTATAACAACCCACAGCATCTGCAACAGAAGTTCTTTTGTGGTTCATTGACAATAACACGGGTGTGGGAAACTGAAATTAAATTGCTACTCATGCTCACTATATGGCACGTGTCAAAAGACATGACTGCATCTGGTCGGCTACATGATTATTTTCTAGAGACATTATGATTTAATTAAATGGTACAACACCAAAATATATTCTTGCATTTGTAAAATATATATATAAAACAAAATTTGCAACTCTTTATACAATAGTATAAATGAAATTATCAGTTAAAATCAAATTGATGTTTACAGTTTCCCTTAATATTAATCTCATTATAAACAACACATGCGAAATAAACCATTAATCCCATTATTTTATTTTTACCCATAATTTTTACATTAAAACATGAATGTTTTTCCCTGACATGTGATGGGATAATCAGCGTGTGCTCGGTCAAAACCATTGATCCCAGTATCAGGCAGCAGATCTCCTTTCCCTACAGGGTCACCACTTTCCCATAATCACACAGAGATCTGTTACACTCCCTTCGTTTACCCACAGTCTTCCACCTGTTCCCCTGAGACCTCACTATTATCCCCCAGGCATTAACGGCAGCATGCTGCTGGCTCCACATGGCTTATTGTCTCGCAGAGCACTCTGATTGGCTCAGACTGTGGGAAACCTCAACCAGACTAAGACCCACACATTCATATGGAGATGCTGGAGTATAAATGGGAGGGATGAAACCAGTAGAGATCAGATTCTCTCTACAGAGATCTCCACAGCACAGAGATCCAGGCATGGCACCTAAAATCCCTGCAGCAATTAACAGTTCTGAGGAGCATCTGACTCTGACTCACAAGGTAAATCAAAAATTTGTGGAATTTGTTTTCTATAAAATTTTATCAATTATATTTTCTTGTTAACACAAAACTCCCGAACAAATTTATTAATTGCATTATTCTTCTTTGCAGCTCAGAAAGCCTCTGGTGGAGAAGTTACGCAGAGAGCGAATCAACACCTGCATTGAGCAGCTCAAGTCTCTCCTGGGTCCAGAGTTCCTCAAACAGCAGCCAGACTCCAAACTGGAGAAAGCAGACATCCTGGAGATGACCGTTTGCTTCCTGACACAGCTACAGCAGCAGAGAAACCTGCTGACGCACTGCAACAAGCTGCAGACTGCCTCTGATAAGAAGCTGAAAGAGGCTGACTTCTCTCCTCTGAGCTCCACAGTCCAGAACATGATCACCAAAAATAAATGTCCGATCAACAGCGCTCTCTGGAGGCCATGGTAGACACAACAAACTGGAGTTAATACCAAGAAAAAAAGAGACCATATTGGTCAAACGTGACAGGACTGAATTATTTGAACTTTCTGTGTTCTTCTGTGTGTGCAAGACGACATTTCCTGAGGAAATGACAGCAATAGAGCCTTTCGTGTTAAGGAAGAAAATATCTTGTCATGCATGTAGCATGAATGAAATCTGATTGCATCAGCGATTATTATCAATGCCTAATGTACGTGTTATGGTAACATAGTTGTATATATAGTACTATAGTTTTTGTCTGTTTTTTTTCTGTGCAGGATGACATTTCCTGAGGAAATGTCATCTTGCACATTAAGAAAGAAAACCTCATGTCATGCATGTTGCATGAACCAAATGTAGTATTTTGTTTGTTGGTTTTTGACCCTTGTGATCTAAGATTGAAATGTCCTTTTTCTGGACTGATTGTAAAATTAAACTTGACCCCCATTTAATATCAAAACAGATCTGTTCTAAGATCCAGTTGTTTATCCTTTTAATTATAAAAGGCTTGATATGACCATTTTAACCCCTACTTCACTGAGGATTAAACAGTATATTATTTGTACCTTTTGACAAACACTGATCACTTTGTGATTACTGAAAGCCAATCTGTTTTAAGATTAATATTTTATGTTTCACACTGTCAGCTTTTTTGTGACAGGTGTTTTTTTTTTCTTTTGGGAACGTAAATGTGATCTGTTTGAAGGTCAATATTAATAGTTTTCATATTGATTAATGTGTTCTTAAATGCTGTAAATATTTTGTCTTTCACAAAGACGGTGTCCCTTCACTCTCTCTGAGCACAGTGTGCCTTGTAGAAATCTACAAGTGGTCGTTGTGATGTGTCATCACTTCCTGTTTAAAGCATTTATGTTTTATGTGGCTCTTGTTAAATAAACAAACACTGCCAAGTGAAAACTGTATTTCCATGTTGTTGTTTGTTGTGGTTTTCATAAGTAATGGCAAAGATGTACTCCATTCACTTCCAATTTAGGTCAATTTAAGGGGTGTTTATCACAGATCTTTGTTTAATTTACATATCCAATTAAAAATGCTGCAGTCTAAAAACTATTTAGGTTAGAGCATACAAAAGAAAAACAAGGTTCAATTCTTTTTTTAATGAGGGGAACTTTCTGGATATTTGGGTTTTTAAAACAAAAATAAAAGACACTTTTTAGACACTGCTACTTTGATAAAATTAAGTGTTTCTGGTGTGTCTAAAGTAAAAGCTCTCACTTCCATGAAACCGTCACAAATGAAATCTAATGACATGCAGACTAAGACACACTTCTATTGTTCCTGTAGTGAAAGCACTGAAAGGACGGACTGTGGGAAACCAGAAGAAACTCACTCACAGAGCCTCAGAGGAACAATAGATCCAGACCTTTGCCCTGAAGTGACAGGGGATAAAAGGGAGCCTGACTCCCTATTTCTAATCGTTTTGTTGTTGTCTTTTTGGCCATGATTTTGTCCATTCCTTACATAAAACAGTAACACCATTTTTTAAAATTGTCATTTCTTATTGTTAATCTCTATTTTAACAAGAGATCTTCGAAAGTGTCTTGTGTGGATTTAAATTAAAGACACGAATGAAAGAATAATTTTGTTATTGACAGTGCAAACTGCTCAACGTGTCACACATTCAACCGTTGTTAATTTTTTGGGGTCTAAAATCTATTCGTCATAACGCCTATTGTAAGTTCAAGCCCAAATGAAGAAGCTCCCTGTCACAGATGGTTTCATAAGTATTTGTGGATCCAAGTTAAACTGAACAAACTAGAGGTCTTTAATTAAAAGTGCACATGCAAACTCTTTAAGTAGGCATATAAAGGTTATTCAAAATGAACTGCAAGAAGCCTGAAGTTTACTTCAGCATTTCTTCTCATTCATTCACTTGACCCTTTGCCAAGTCTGTAGACAGTCTTTCTCTCTCTTGTCATGTTTATGTCTTGTTGGCGCTCAAATCAAAGTCGTTTCTTTCTCAGGAATATATTTTCCAAGATAATATGAAACAGAGAAACCAGGTGAACATGTAACAGCTTGCCTCCATGCCCCTGACAGAAGGGAATCTTGCTCAACAAGGCATACTGTTTCTAGAAACATGCTATAGATACAGCTTTACATTGGATGGATATCACTAATTCTTAGGTTCTGCAAGTTATCCGGTTAACATAGTCGATTTTATTAGTACCCCACTTTTCTGAGAGAAAACATAAGCTAATATTTAAAACTCACAAATCACCACTTTAAAAAACAATGAAAGTCACTGGGGATTTCTAGAAAACAGCTGTCTAATTAGATAGCTAGCTGGAAATTTATTGCAAAACACTGATGTTGTCTCAGTCTGCACAGGAGAAAATAAAGCTAGAGGATACAGAAAAGTTAAATTAATAGGGGTAGTGATGGCATCCATTCATAACATCCTAATAGAGGGGACTACATACAAATTCTGTACATAAAGGTCTCATGTTGGATTCAAACCACTGACCTTGTTAATATCAAGTATCAGTGCTGACCACCACACCAGTGAGCTGCCCTGCAGTCTTAACATATACAGCATAAGGTTTACAAAAGATTTAGCATCTCAGCAAAAGGCCAGAGGATGAAGAAATACTCAAACATTACCCATTATTAGGGGCGATCGTGGCTCAAGAGTTGGGAGTTTGCCTTGTAATCGGAAGGTTGCTGGTTCGAGTCCCGGCTTAGACGGTCTCGGTTGTTGTGTCCTTGGGCAAGACACTTCACCCGTTGCCTACTGGTGGTGGTCAGAGGGCCCGGTGGCGCCAGTGTCCGGCAGCCTCGCCTCTGTCAGTGCGCCCCAGGGTGGCTGTGGCTACAATGTAGCTGCCATCACCAGTGTGTGGATGTGTGTGTGAATGGGGGGATGACTGGATATGTAAAGCGCTTTGGGGTCCTTAGGGACTAGTAAAGCGCTATATAAATACAGGCCATTTATTAGCTAACCTACTGTAGTTGAATTCACTTATTACAGATCTTGAACCTCTGTATGCTTCTTCGTATGCTGCAGTATCTGGCCTCCCCATTCCTGATGTAAAGCATTCTAAGTCCCTTTCCAGTTTGTTGGAGTGATAATAATTTCAACTTTCACAAATTGAACTATGGGTAAATAATCTTCAAGATGAAAATTAACTTGTAAATTGGGGCATGCTTATTTAGGCAAATGATAGAAGTGTGGGAAAACCCATGAGACAAGAGTTCAGTGGCAATCACTCCACCAGCAGCCTGTGAATTCTCCAAAGGGATTTGACACACTTCATGAAAATTGTGTCACCCAGGAAGGCTCCCACCATCACAATCCCAAAATTTCAATCCAGCTCTCAGTCAGTTATCAGTCACAGATACGAACCGAGGATCAAAATGTGTCAAAGATTAAAAAAGTAGAAATTATTTTGATATAATCTTTTCAAATGTTATTATCCCAGCCAACCAATGGGATCCATTCCCACCAGATGGTTTGTGATCTAATTCACTGTCTCTATAACAACACACAACCAGCATCTGTGACAAAAATCCCCTTGTGGCTCAATGGCCACAGCACGGGGGTAAGTGTGGGAAACTGAGATCGACCTGCTACTCACAGTGGCTACAAGGCACGTGTCACAAGACACAGGAGCATCTGGATTGAGTTTGTTTTGAGTATTTTAATGTATTATATTGAGTAATTCAAATTAAATTAGATACAGCATTCAAAAATCTTATGGAGTTTTCAAAATGTATGTTTTTGAATACATTTTTAAAAAAAAGATGTTTAAGCTCTATGATAGGAAATACAAATTACAAAATTTTCCATTAAAATCAACAGAAGCAGAAAATGCAGAGAAATTCACCTAGTCTATCACTTTTTTTTGCTTACTTGAAATTCATACATTACAGCTTTGTTATTCCCGCACACGTGCACTGGGTGCTCAGTCAGAATCATTGATCTCAGCATCTGGCAGCAGATCTTCTACAGGGTCACCACTTTCCCAGCTTCACACAGAGATCTGTGGGCATGTCTCAGTCTCCCCCCAGTCCTCCAGCTGTTCCCCTGAGACCTAACCATTATCCCCCAGGCATACAGGAGCATGTTGCTGCTCCACATGCCTTATTGTCTCACAGAGCTCTCTGATTGGTTCAGACTGTGGGAAACCTCAACCAGAGTAAGACCCACACATTGATATGGAAATGTGGGACTATAAGTAGGAGCCAGGAAGCCAGCAGAGATCTTCTTGCTACAGAGACTTCTGCAACACAGAGATCCAACCATGGCACCTACAATTGCTGCACCAATGACCACTTCAACGGATCATTTGACTCTGACCCACAAGGTAAATTGAACACTGCCTGGATTTAAATTATTATTAAGTTGATAGTCTTTCTTTTCTTTTTCTAACAAAAAACAAACAAACAAGGTTATTTATGACTCTGTTCTTTTTTCTGCAGTTCAGAAAGCCTCTGGTGGAGAAGTTACGCAGAGAGCGAATCAACACCTGCATTGAGCAGCTCAAGTCTCTCCTGGGTCCAGAGTTCCTCAAACAG